GGCAGGAGCCGCAAGGCTGGCAGGTCCCCGTGCTGTGCTGTGCTGTGCGTGGTGCCAGCTGCCCGCTGGCTGCTGTCACGAGGGCTGTCAGAGCGGGTCTGGGGTGAGGGTGCTGCAAGGCGCAGCAGAGCAGTGTGCTCCCTCCTGTGGTTCCCCACGTCTGCATCTGACAGCTGGGGGGGTCCTCTGGCCTCCTCGCTGCCCCGGCTCCGGTGTCTTCCTCCCTTTGGGGGGGTGTTGCAGCGTTGCTTCTAGCTGCAGAAATGGAGCCCTGCTGCCCCAGCAGCTCCAGGGCAAGATGGCTTTTGCAGCCCCTTTCTTGCAGTTGAGACCCAGCACTGCTCTTTCAGATGTGCAAATCTGAAAGATTTGCTCCAGCACCTCTTCCCTTGTCTCCACATGCATTTGTGAGTGGAAAGTCCCCACTGTATGATGACGCTATCTGGTCACCTCCCAGCATCAGGGTGTCTGCAGCAGGCAGGGAGACACCGTGAGAGGCTCAAGCAGCAAGGATGCCCACCCAGGCTGTGGCCAGGCACGGTGAGCAGACCTGTGCCGTAATGTGGCCAGCTGGTAAGGCCTGTGAGCATCGGCTGCACTGCAGTATGAGTACAGCTCTTTGACATGGAGTGGTCCTGCATAGCATGTCCAGTCGTGGTGGGCCTGTGGCCATCTCTTGCTAACCCCTTCCATCCTCAAAAAGAGCTTGAGGTGGTAGAAGGGCCCTTTGGTGTGTGCTGCCATGGGATGCCTGAAAATTCAAACCATTTCTCACAGCTGAGTCATCTATCACCAGTGGAGAGGGACCATGCTTGGGCACTGGCTTCTCCAACCCATCCTTCTATAGCAGGAACTGATTGCCTGAAATCAGCAGATGCAGGCCAAAAATAACTTTTTGTTTGGTACATTTTTGTAAAGCTGTCCTGCTAAGCAGCTGTTGCATCAAAGCTGGCTTGCTTTGGTTTACCTAAAGGTTCCACTCAGTGGAAGCAGACATTAATTGAGGGAACTGTAGGGATTTGCATTACTTGGGGTCAAAGCTAGATCATTTGACTTGAGAGAGGGGTAGAAGTAGGGACTCAGCATGCACTGCTGCTTTGATGCTTCTGTCCAGCTGCAGGGACTTCCACTGCACTCACCAATAGCCTAATTCTTGGGGGATCATGCCTTAAGCTGTGGGTGTCTATGTCTAAGTCTGTATCTAATGGAAAAGCAGTTTGTGCTAAGAAGAGGGAAAGGAGGAAGAGGCTGCAGAGGATGCTGGACTATGACCTGGTGGCCATGGGAGAATTAGTTTGCTCAGTGCCTTGGCAGCTTTTTAATCCTGCTAAGTGCCTGGTGCAGACCTCGCAGCATGCCTGAGAACCAGTTGCACTTCCCACCTCACAGTCCCTCCTTGCCAACCACCAGACTCCACGTCAGAGTCCACTGCTCCGTGGAGATGCCTAGGAAGCCAGCAAGGATGTGCCTCCCAGCAGGTCAGAGTTACCCAACAGCAGTGGTTTCAAAGCAGGTTTTAGCCAGTTCCATCCTCCTTTCACCAGCCCTGTTCCTCCATCACTGGACTGACCATTGTGGGGCAGAGACCACCTAGAGTGGTGGAGCTCAGTTCCTCCAGGAACCAAGCAAAATCGCTAAAAATGGAAACTGAAGGAAATTTTACCTTTTGTTTCATTTTTTTTTCCTGTAAATAAATGCCTAGTGGTGCTGACCACATACTGAAGTGCCTAAAGTTACAGATAATTTCTGGAAGAGAGATTACAGCTATCTTGTATTTAAAGATTTGTGAATAAAATAGTGACCCAGGTCAGGGCCATGACTTTGGAGTTGAAATAGATTTTTTTCTCTCTGTGATCTTGCAGCTGCCTGATCTTTAAGGTCATGTTCGCTCCAGGCCTTTTTTTCCTAGGTAAGCAACAAGGAGGATAGCTAAAACTCTGAATCCTCTGTCAGGATGCACTCCCACAAGTATTTTTTTTTAAGAGAAGATGAAGGAAGTAACTGCTGTGTTTGGAGGATCCCCCTGATCCCAGGTCATTTCAAACCAGAGCAGTTTTCCTTCATGTTTTCCTTGTTGATGCTCTTGTCAGTTGTCACTGGTGACCAGGTGTTGCCCCAGACATCACTCGCCTCTTGCACGGCCATCTTTGACTGCACTGGTTGGGTGGGAGAGGCTGTGTGGTGTTGCCCAGATCTGCAGTACCCTTCGGGCAACTGCTGCCATCCTGTCCCCTGAGAGACCTTCCAGCTGAGCACGAGGGTTCGTGTAGAGTGAGGTGAAGGCAGGCAGGCTGTGGTGTGAAGTCAAGTATTGGTAAGGAGGTACCCATCTGTTTGACACCGTGTCTGGCATTTGCAAGGCCACAACTGAGTGCTAGGACCAGTTTGGGACTTTGCAGAACAAGAAAGGCATAGGCACTCAGGAATGACTCCAGCAGGGGCCATCAGGACAGTCAGGGGGACACAGGGTGGCAGTCAAGGACTGGACCAAGGACCTGTAGAAGCAGTAGGATCTTCAACACTGGCACTACTCAGACTTTGACTGAACAAGAGGTTGGAACAGAGACTCCTCCACCATAGGTCCCCTGCTACCCCAGCTATCCGAGAGGGCTTACTGCAAACTGCCAGAGGGAAGCAAGACTCCAAATGTTTCCCAGTGCTTTGTGCTGTCAGTTCCAACAGGGAATCCTGCTGTACGTGACAAAGAAACAAGGCCCTTTCCTAAGCAGTGGTGTTTATATCACGGTGTGCTTCCTTGCATCCTCCTACTGCATTTAAGAGTAAGTGAAATCCTTGCTTATGAAAACTGCCACCAGCAAATGGAGAATGTTTTTGGGTGGCGCTGCCAGTTCCCAGTGTGAATTAGGAAAGGATTATTTTCCTTGGGAAGATGGAAGGGTCAGTTTCAAAACAGACTTGGGTGAATGCATGGGGTTTCCTAAGGAAAAGAAAGAAACCACAGGAGCCAGTACCAGCCTAGAGCCTGGTTCTGTGGTGCAGGGCGAGGAAGCAGCCTCTTTCCCCTTCCCTACTGCACAGGTCCTTTGGACCAAGCAGATGTTTTTTCCTTCACTAGTTGAGTAAGTAAAGATTGTCTGACCTCTTTGTTTCCCCATTTTAGGCCATGAACCTGGACTTGTGCAGCTGGTGAATTACTACAGGGGAGCAGACAAGCTGTGCCGCAAAGCATCTCTGGTGAAGTAAGGAAGTCACTCCAAATGTTATGTGGGATTGGCAGGAGTGTTTCTTCTAACCATTGTACAGTGTTGGACTTGTTCAGAGGGTATTTCACAGAACAGCTGCCCTGGGGGTGTCCTAGCATCATGTGCTGTCTTCACACTCCTGTGCTGCTCTCTGGAGCTGTCTGTGTGCACAAAGACCTCTTTGTAACTTCGGGGGAAATGCCATTTCCACTGACTTGCATCCACTTGAAACTGTGGAGTGTATTGAATTAGATTAGAGCCAAATCACAAGGGAAAAAAAAAAACCAAAAAACAGAACATATCTGCTCTCCTCAGGCATTCAACTAAAATCTACTCCTTATTTGTTTCAAACAGAGATGAGACACTAATAAGCCTTTAGCTAATCAGATTTGTTGGTCAAACAAATGCTTGGAGACATCTCCAGGAAGAGCTCTGAAGGTTATTTCTGCATGACAAGCCATGCCAGGGTCTCCTGGGGAAAAGCAGATGAGCTCTCATTGAAGATAACCCTTGTCCCTGTGCAAACTCTGCAGCTATTAGGGCATTTTTAGTTCAGAGCTCTTGGCCTTCTCTGAGCATTTGATTCCACATCAGTGTCTGTGCTGCCTCTTGCTGATGCAGTCCTGCAGGCTGCGTGTGGAGATGCGAGGCCTCTCCTTCCCCATGAAGAACCTGGTCCTGACTGCTTTCTTCTCAGTGGTGGTGGTGTTTGGCAGGAGCTAGCAGTCTTTAAGCAAGCATTCACAGTGCTCCCCAGCTGGATTTTTCTGAGGCACATGGCCTACAGGCAGTGCTGAAAGTGCTTCCATTCCTGTTTTTTTTTTTCCTCCTGAAGCTTGGTTGACCTTTGTAACTGTGGGGTCAACCATGCATCAAGCTACTTATGAACTCAAAGGGACCACAAATGACATTCTGCAGGGCTCCAGGGGTGTCCCTGACTGACTGCCATCTCAACAGAGAGGCACAAATGCACAGAGAGAGCAGTCACCAGTCATGAGATCTGCTTTTGGCCTTGAGCAAAGTACGGAGTGAGCGTTCAGAGGCAGGCAGCTCCCGTGACTCTGAAAGAAAGCAGCCTGGGCTCAGCTAACAGGAGTTTGCTGGCATCTCTTAACTTTACTGGTAGGAAGGATGTGCCAAGGAGATTGGAGACTGCATGATGCAAGGGGAATTCCAGACACTGAGACACAAAACATGTAGCTGTGTCCCTGCTCTCAGTGCCATCCTAGTGCTCTTCATCCACAGCTGAGACACCTGAACAGATCTCAGTGGGGATGGGATCAAGAGCTAAGTGTCAGCACAAAGACTATTATTGCTCTACCTTCCCTTTTGCCTGTTGTGATCACAGCACCCTTCCTGCCCCATTCTGTGTTAGCAAATCTCCTCAGTTCCCTTGTGCAGAAATGATACAAGGTGTGCACCACAAGCTCTAGTTGGAAACTTCTCTGCTGAGTGTTTCCTGATATCCATAGTATCTACAAAATGAAAGCGTGCAGGTCTGGTTCAAAGAGCAGTGCTTGGCTGCAGGTTGGAGTTGCTGTGATATCTTCAGGAAAACCCTAATTTCTTGGGTCTAAAGAAAATACAATAATTTAGCACAGGCTATCCATAAGGTGCTATTCATGACCAACTGGAAGAGCCTATTACTGATGATATTTACTTACCAACTGATGTCCATGCAGGTGGGGACACTCTGGAGGTTAACAGCCCGTCTCTCTCCACCCAGGCTAATCAAGACAAGCCCTGAACTAGCGGAGTCCTGCACGTGGTTTCCCGAGTCGTATGTGATCTACCCAACGAACCTGAAGACCCCTGTGGCCCCGGCCCAGAACGGAATTCGCCACCTGATAAACAACACGAGGACAGACGAGCGGGAGGTCTTCTTGGCAGCTTACAACAGGCGGCGGGAAGGCAACGAAGGCAACGTGTGGATCGCCAAGTCCTCAGCTGGTGCCAAAGGTTCATCCTCCAGCCAAATGAGCTGCCTTGTTACCCCTTACTCTTTACTTGATCGGTAGAGTCCTGAGGTTGGGCTGAGCCCAGCTGATGTCTAGCCTGTCTATGAAGGGCTTTGCCTACCAACTCCGTGCCAGTCAAGCCAGCACAATGTTCACCTTCGTCTGCTTCATGGCATGGGGCTCCTGACAAGCATTCTAACATGTACATGCTGCCTAGGACATGGATGGCAGTGAAAGGACCTCCACTTTTCTACAAGTGCACCTTGAAATATGGGGGAGTTGGCTGCAGGGAGAAGGCAGCAGGGACCAGCAGGCGAGGGAAATGTGAGGGCAGGAGATAAGGAGCAGAACAGGATATGGGAAGGAGGGCAGCAGGCAGGACAGCAGCCTTCAAGGGGAAGGAGCCTAGTTCTACATGCTGCAGCTTGTTCCACCACTGCCTGTCTTTGGACTGAACCTAGATGCCTGGTGCCAGTGGCCTACCAATGGTCACAGTGAGAGACTGGCTGAGCTCAGTGCATTGAAATGGCACCCAGGCCTCGAGGAGGGTACTGCAGCAAGACGAGCAGTACAGTGCCTGTAGGTCCCTTGAATTTGAATCAGGCAATAGATACCTAAGTGAAAATGTGTCCTTGGTTGTTCCAAGGTCTTTGCATTGCTTGCTCTACAGAATTAATGAGCTATTAGAGGAGGCAGCTAGAAACAGCTATGGATGGAATGCCTTGGTAATTGTGCTGTTGGTCGCAGCAGTATCATGAGCATGTTAGCAGAATGTCTTTATGAAAAATTACCTTGCCAGGTGTGCAGACCTCATGCTCCAGAGCCCAGCTTGAGGCAGGACCTGGTCTTTTTAAAGGGAACAAGCCCATGCGTGTTACTGATATTTGCAGAGTTGCTTTTGATGCAATCTTAGAAAATTCTCCAGTGAATGTGAAGGCCAGAGGTAGCAGCAGGGAGGCTGCATGACAAAACTGTCCGTCGTGCTGGATTTCTTAGCTGTGTTACTGGGAAGCATCAGAAGAGTATGATTATTTTCTTCAAGGAGGAAAGGGAGATGAGTTCTTTTGTTATGTCAGTGAGGGAATGTGTTTCTGTATAGTATAACTGTCAAAAAAACAGTCTGGGCAATTTAAATAGCTGTTGCTGTTGTTCACTGCAGGATGGGGAGGTCTAAACTCTCCACATACTTGAAGTGTGATTCTGTCTTTTCTGCATTAAAGCAGAGTAACTTTTCATATTCATCAGTGTGCTGCAGAACTCAAGCTGGGAATTAAAGTGGAAAGCAGAGCCTCATGTTAATGTTCTAGAGGAAAGTTTTAAATGTCATGGGATTGTTTCTGGTGAAGAAGAAAGCTTGTCAACATTAATTGCCAAGGCAGATCAACCTCAGGCACAGCCCCTGACTTGGTACAGGTCTAGTGGAATCTTAGTTGTCCATCAGTAGAAGGAAAATTAAAGGATCAAGATATCCTCACTTAAAATTTGAGAGATTTTTTAACTGTGGCTAGAGGTTTTGATGCTTTCTTTGAAAGAAGGGATGTGTGCCCCACATAAGCTGCTCTGCTGCCTCACTGGGTTGCTGATGAGGTGGGCAGTTAAGCTGACCCCCCCTTTTGATTCACCATCTATCCAGTGCAGAATGGGTGCCTGCTGATCTTCCCCCTGGAGGGGCTGTTTTGGCTTACAGAGATATTCCCCCTCTCCTCCCCCTTCCTCCCCACCTCTGGTTGTGCCAATGCAGTTGGTTGTACCAGTTCTACCTGCCTCTGCTGTGATCTGGGGACTAAATATCTTGCCCCCTGCATAAACATGGGTGAAAAAGCTACATTGCTGAAAGGACTTCCTTTTGGTGGAGGACACTAGAGTGGCTTAGGATAGATTTGACTCACATTTAGGCAAAGCATGGAGCAATGAGAGTACCTGCGGGGCAGTGTCAAGACTGATGTTAAGAAGTCACAGCTAGGAGCATTTTCCAGAGGATGATCCTGTCAAACCCTGCCTGTGCTCCAGACCTGTGTTCTTCTCCTGATGGCCCCCTGAAGAGTGTTTCTTTCTTTTCACTCAGCATTTCCTCCAAAACACTCAGCACAACATTAAGACTAAGTCATCAGTTTTAGTCCAAAAAGTTATCTAAATGCCTGAAGACTGTACATAGTACCAGAAAAGCGTTGGGTAGTTCTACATGAGCTGGTTTATCCTTCCTGTTTTCGCTTTTCTGCATCAGTGATTTCAAATCTGCAAGAAATGAGCAGTGATGTCTTCAGCCAAAATGTGGCAGTATTTAAAAGGCACATCTAATTTCTTTAATGAAGAGCTTCCACAGCAAGGGAAAATGACAACTACATGGATGAATATTTTGAAGTAGTTCTTTTCCTAATTCAGCAATGATTTTAATAGTACCTTAAATTAACTTGGTGAGCAGGGCAGCACTGTGACTGCCTCTTGCAGACAGAGAAGCCAAGCAGGGGGAGAAAGTCTCAGTCTAGGATAAAAAAAAAAACCACAAAACTCCTTCCTTAAATGAAGGAGTATTTAAAAAAAACAACTCACAAACTGCCAAAATCCCTGTTGTCCAAACTGCTGGAAAACAGGATAGAATAAACGCCACCCCCTCCCACCCCTTACGAAGCCCAGCTAGAAAAAAAAAAAAAAAACTGGAAGGGGAAACAAACTCCCCCAAACCAAGCAGCTGCCTTGGTGCCTGCCAAGGTCCCTGTCTGCAGCGCATCCCCTCACACCCAGCTAGGCCAGCCCTGGGCAGGCCATGCCATCCAGGTAGCCTCGATTCCCATGTTCGTTAGCTCCAGATACTGGGGAGCCAAATGCCCTGTGGCATGGTGATGGGGATCCCTCCACAGATTCACTGCCTGATGCTGAGCCAGCCTGACATCACTAGCCAGCCCTGGCGAGTTCTTGCATGTTATGTGGGTTTTGGGCAAATGAACCACGGTCTGCTTGGGCCCTGAAAAGGCTCCAGCAAAGATATGAGGATCCTCTACCTAATTTTGTCTTCATCTCTCTGTGGCAGGAGAAGGAATCCTGATTTCTTCAGAGGCTACAGAGCTCCTGGACTTCATCGATGAGCAGGGACAAGTGCACGTGATTCAGAAATACCTGGAGAAGCCTCTGCTGCTAGAGCCAGGGCATCGCAAGTTTGATATCAGGTAACGTGTTCTGCTCCTGTAGCACTGGTTTTCATTGGCATGCTGCTGCTTCTTAAGATGCTGAGACTAGAGTTTGTTCTCTCGCCCACCAGGAGCTGGGTTCTTGTGGATCACCAATATAATATCTACCTCTACAGAGAGGGTGTCCTGCGGACCTCTTCCGAACCGTATAACAGTGCTAATTTCCAGGACAAAACCTGCCACTTGACCAATCACTGCATTCAGAAGGAATATTCCAAAAACTACGGGCGCTATGAGGAAGGGAATGAAATGTTCTTCGAGGAGTTCAACCAGTATCTGATGGATGCCCTGAACACAACGCTTGAGAATAGCATCTTACTGCAAATCAAACACATAATAAGGTAGCCAGCTGCCTGTTGCATAGGGACCATGTAAGGGGACAGATGGGGAAGCAGACAGACCAATAAGAGAAGGGTTTCAGGTGCATAAATTTAACATAAAGCCATAAACACCCCAATGTCATTGCACAATGATAAGGGACCTCCATAGGTGCTGTTCTCTCGGGGGTGTGCATTTTGCCAGCTGTGGCTGGAGGAGGATGGAGTGAAACTGCTTGATAAGGGAAGAGCATAGGTCAAAGAACATGGTCTGGGATACGTTGAGGTTAAAAAAGGTTTAAGAGGGGAAATGAAGCTGAACTCAAGTCTGCAGGATCTCACTGCTTCCCCCACCATCAGCAGTCAGCAGCACATCTCATTGGCATAGATCATCTCACTCAAGCCACGTAGAGCCAGCTGCCTACTGGGCACAGAAAGCGCCTGGAGAGAGATCTTGGAGCTCACAAAGAATCCAGATCTTGACAAAGTGATCCTTCATAGCAGAATTTACTTTGCAAATACTCCACTGCTGTGACTTGCACCAAAAAGACCTGACACAATCTTTAAGGGACTTGAAGGCAAATACAGTCTCCGTGGCAGTTCCCTGGGGACTTGGTGCAGCTCTTTGTGGCTCTGCCTTCTACTCCAGGCTCTAATTGCACATCATGTTTTTCCACTTGCCTAATCCAGCAATAAGGGAGGATGCTGCTCTCCAGCACTTCTGGTGTTAACTCAGGAGTGTCCCCACATGTTTTGGTGGTTGCATGAGTTCACTTGCAGGGGCGTTTTTATTGTGATGTGTGTTGGATATAGCTTGTAATTTGGGGCAGTCCCAGGGCAATAGGGGACCCTTCCACTTAGCAGAGGGCACATGCCCTCAGAAGCTGCAGTGCAGCAGTTGTGTCTGCAGTGCACATCACGTTTTTCCACTTGCCTAATCCAGCAATGAGGGAGGATGCTGCTCTCCAGCACTTTTGGTGTTAACTCAGGAGTGTCCCCATGTTTTGGTAGTTGCACGAGTTCACTTGCAGGCGCCTGTTTATTGTGATGTGTGTTGGATATAGCTTGTAATTTGGGGCAGTCCCAGGGCAATAGGGGACCCTTCCACTTAACAGAGGGCACATGCCCTCAGAAGCTGCAGTGCAGCAGTTGTGTCTGCAGGGCTTTTAATCTTGGGCTTCTGTTTTTTCTTTCACAGAAGCTGCCTTATGTGTATAGAGCCTGCAATCAGCACAAAGCATCTTCACTACCAGAGCTTCCAGCTCTTTGGATTTGACTTCATGGTGGATGAGGAGCTCAAAGTGTGGCTGATAGAAGTCAATGGGGCCCCAGCATGTGCCCAGTGAGTAATCAGTTTCTGTAATACCCTTGTGATGCCACCATTCATGTGTCTCACCCAAAACATTGGCTGTGTTCCAGCTGAAGTGAAAAAGGTAGAAGAAGGTAAACGGCAGGAGAATTTTCCAGGCTAACCCCTATCAGACACTGCTCTAAGTGCCAGCTGATTTACATTAATTTCTCTTGTCTCTGTGGTTGGTATCCCCCAGCTTCTTTCCCATGTTGTGAGGTGGGACACTAACCTCAGATTTTGGACAAATGGGTTTGAATGTAATTTGGATAATTTATATTGATTATTGGATTAAAGTAACATTGCAGAGTTAATGCTTTGGGGGTCAGGTGGTTTCTCAGTCTCTCTTGGTGGCTGGACTTTACCTGAACAGATGATAAATTAGGAGCATTAAGGGCAGCAGCTGGGAGCAAGTGACTGAATTTGTAGGGAGTAGGACTCCAGAGCACACTGTGGATGCTGTGGACACCAGATCAAAGCCTCCAGCAGCCAGGGGAAGGCTGGAACAGCCGTGGCAATGAGCATCTCTGCATGGGCACAGCAGGCAGTGCTGTATTATGTGACTGAGACAACGGCGGGTGACTAGAAATCTTTGCTAAATGGGCATCTGTATCATACACGAGCCCAGCAGAACAGGCTGTACATCACTAAATTAGAATTTTATTAGATCATATATAGATTAAATTAGATTAGATCATCACTAACAGTAGGCAAAAAAATACAAGTCAAACCTACCAGACAGCCTGTTCAGTGGCCTTCTCAGAGCTAGAGCTCAGGGAGATTTTTGTATCCAGGATGCCCTGTTTACCTTGTGCACCGTGGTGCAATACTGCCTCGTGTCTCCTTGTGAGATGAGCAGGAGCCTGTTCTGACAGCAAATTTAGATAATAGTGTTTGGTCTCATCTGGCAGAGACCAATACTGGGAATGAAAAAGAAAATGGTTGCTGGGATAGGCAGGGAGGAGATGGAAGAGATGCCACCCTCCTCCTGTTTGCCACCCTGGAGCTACCTGTAACAGGAGTAGGATCTTCTAGGTCCTGCTGGAAAAATGCATGTCTGTGTAAAAATTGATGGGGCCTGCTGGTTTCTCCTGCCTGGGCTCTGACTGTCTCTCTCTCTCTCTCATCTCTTAGGAAGCTGTATGCAGAGCTCTGCCAAGGAATTGTGGATGTAGCCATCTCTAGCATTTTCCCCCTGAACGACACTGGGCCAAAGATGAGCCAGCCATCATCGATCTTCATCAAGCTGTGATGAGGACAGGAAAGCCTCTGCTGTGCACAGGGAGAGACTGCACCCACTGGGTCAGCACAGCTCAGCGGCTTATCGGTATCATGCCAAAAAGTGATAGAGACAGGCTTCTTCTTTCCTGGAAAATCAAGGGGGAAAACAACAAAGCAGGCATCCACACAGAGCTGCTCAGACAGCTCTGTCTGCATTCACCAAAATCCACTTTAGAAACAGCTCCTGTGACTTTGATACCTGATCTCTCTCTCTCTGGGAGAACAACAAAATAACCTTAAAATGAAACCCCAACAGGGATACTATAATATTGTATTAGCTCCTCCTTTTCTATAGAGATAACACTGGGATATTTAAGGGAACTGAGTGAAGAGTACGATGTTCTTCTGGGACGTCGTGGCTGGGAAGTTGTCCTCCTGTTGTGTTTCTTTCCTCACCTACTGCATCATTAGTGCCTTAGCTCAGCTCCGAATAGGTGACTCCTTTCCTTTGTTCCTGCTCTGTTACATAGAAAGGAGTAAGTTCTCTGGCATCACAGGATGCCTAAAACCAGGAACACGGAGATTTCAGTTTCCTTAGGTCATTTTCCAAGCTGTTTGGCTGAACACCCAGGCAGCGGCTGGCAAAAGGGTGCTGAACTGCAGGCAGGCAGTGAATTAATCCAAGCAAGGAAGGCAATTCTGTTTATTTATAGCTATCCATTTCCTAATGAAATTTGAATCGGGGTCCATCCCAGTCTGATGCAGTTGGATTCTATTTAAAAGAGGTAGAGAGGTCCCCCTCAGGGCTCTCTGGCAGGCTGTGGGATTGCTAGCATCACTGTTATGCTAAGAGTATTTCAAATAGCAGAAACACAACCTCAGTTTCTTCTGAGACACTGCAGTGAATTTAGACTCTTCTCAGCTTTCACCTTCATCCAAACCTTTCAACCCAAATTATTCATATCCTGTTTGATCCAGCCAATTTTATTCTCCTCCATTTGACAAATAGTGCAATTTTCTGCCCTGAGCACAGTCCACAGTTTGATCCCAGCCCTGGGGGAAGGTAGGTGAGGTTTTATAAACGAGGAGAGAGATTCCTTGTGTATAGGTTTGCCATACATCTCAGAAGACAGGTTTTGGGGGAGAGTGGGAGTGTTTAAATTCCTTGAGGTCCCTGAATTTCAGAGCAAACATCTGCTGTGAGTATAACCTAAAGCCCTGGCATATTGCCCAGCCTGTGAAGTGTATCTGAATTTCAGCCTGAGCCCAGCACATCCCTCCTAAGACAGAGCTCTCTGCAGAGTGCAGTGGTACTTGTAATAGCAGCAAGCTTTGGGGTAGGTGTTTGGGCTGTGTTCTGCTGTCTCTGGCAGGAAGAGATGGTTGACTCCAAATTAAAGTGGTTCCTGTTACCAAAACCAAACAAGAGATGGTGGAGGTTACAAGCTTTTGGCTGCCTGTGCGTAATGGGAAGTGAATCAAACAGTGGGATTTCTGTCTTCCTCAGAAGATCCTGGTGCTTTGGCATACCCATCTCTGCTTGTGAGGGAGATTTCAGATGTCTCCAGGCCAGAAGACAACCCTGGCACCTTTCTGAAATGCCCAGGCCTCCTTTGAGCGATGCATTTTGATCGTGTTGTCTTGGGATGGACATCTGTTGCAGCATGCTGTGAATGCACAGGTTTCACACGGGCCACTCAAACCCAGGAGGGGGCAGAGCACCTAGCAAACCCCGCGGAAGCACTACAGAGAGGGCACGTCCCAAACTGCTGCACAAGCACCTCTGAAGTTGTCAGCACCCTGAAGCACAGTGTGGATCTACACCTGCAGGGGCTGTGGCTGATGTTGGGTGCACTGGTACACGCAGAGAGGTGGCAGGGAGCAGGAGCTGTGTGAGAAGAGGCTGCAGCTCTGCTCCCCTGCACCACGAGTGCTGCTGGGTGGCTGCGCTTCCAGCGAGACCCCAAGTGCCAGGTCTGCTCTCTGGATTTGGGCCTCATGGGTGCTCCAAAGAGGGACTGTGAATATGAGGGGGAAGCTGAGTGATAAGCTGGAAGAGGGGTGTGGAGGAAAGACAGGCTGAGGTTTTTAACCTTGTGATAGCACATAGGTGTCAGAATATCACTGCAGGCCAGGCGTAGCATAGTGGTAACACTCCAAGGTAGAATGTAAGTGTGATGGTTGTTACTCATCTTGCAAAGTTCACCACATCTCAGTTGGCATTTTCATGTTAATTCTTGTGAGCTTAGAAGTTGCACCTTTTTGCCCAGCAAAGGGAAGATCCAGTAGCAATTGCCCTGCCTCAGGATGTGATGGAGACATTTGGCTCTTGGAGGCTTTAGAGCAGACAAGAGCAGAGTGCAAAGAGACAATTTTCCCCATCATAATGAAATGGGAAGTGCTCATGTGCTGGGGTGCTAGACCCATCCTTCTTTTCCCCTCAAATGGGAAATTAAAAAAACAAATAACCCCCTTACTGCACAGTAACATGAGATCCCTGCCGATGCAGTGGGGTAAGGCAGGAAAGGCTCCTGGGTGCAGGCAAAAGAAGCAGCCCCCGCTGAAGCAGCTGGTACCACCAGGAGGAGCAGTGACTCAGGAGCCTCTGTGTAACTCCAAGGCCTTTTCTTCCCCTTTTTCACCCCAGATTGCACTTTGGCAGTTGTGGCATGTCAGTAGCTGGCTGGTTTTGCTGCTCAGCTTAATGCAGGGCTTCGACTTGATGGTAGAGCCATGACCACAGGCAGTGCAGCTATTCATACCCTGCCTTTTCAGCTGGGCTTGTGGTGATTCAGGGACTGCTTTGATCATTGACTGGTTTGCTGAATTTTTCAGAACTAACCAACAGGCTCTAGAAAAAAAAAGCAGGTTTCATGAGTATTTACCACCTATCCTCAAAGTGCTCCCCAAGGTAAAGCACAGGATGTAAATTTCAAAAAAGGACAGAGAGCACAATGCCTAAGGTCTTGCCCAGAATGATAGCTACAGTATTGAGTAGAGGATGCGTGTATGGCTGAGGCCTGAGCATTGCCACTGTGGGTACACCTTGCAAGTGATGCTCACAAGCCCTTGTGAGATTTCTGTTTGTTTCTTTTTTTAGGAATACACAATAATAAATGTTTTCTAGCTTATTTCAGCTAAAAGGTCAATAGAGAAGCTCTTACTCTCTTTCTTGAGCTTTCACAAAGGATGGTGCTGGGTTTCCAGAAGACACCTACAGTATTTCAGAATGTCTCTAGTCTTAATTGTATCCCTTCACATCAGCCATGAAGGATTTCAGGCCCAGGTGGTCTGGCTACGTTTTCCAGCAGGGTCTTGGTTCTGCTGGAGTCTGGGTTTCAGGTAACTCCCATGTGGCTTCTCTCATACCAGGTTAGTCATGATTACCATGCAACAGCTATTGTGCTCCTGCTAAAAGCCAGTGGCCGGCTACAGCCTGTGGAAAATACCAGAGAAGTCTTTAAAAAGGCTCAAAAGCTGCTTCATCTGGGGGGCCTGGCTTCCCAGCCTCATTGTGACTAGTGCCCTTCAGGACTGCTTGCATGTCTCTGCTTCCAGCATTTCTTGTTCTCCATGTACAGCGTTCCCCCAGGAGAGCAATACTGTGCCGTACATAGGCTCATGTTCGTGTCTCATAGCCAGTGTCCACTGTGGCAGCCCTCAGAACCCCTGGTGTTCAGAGGACGGTGGGGTACGTGTGGCGCTGCCAGGCTGGCAGCCCAGCAGGCTGCGGTTTGTGTGCCCAGCCTCTCACGTCAGCATGTGCGTGGTGGGCCGGCGGGTGCCTGAGCTCGTGGATCTCTGGCGACTATCCACATCTCTCCTAAACCCTCATTAAAACATGCAA